TTCATCAGTCCAAGGGAGGAGGCTTTTTGGTAAATAATATTTACCTTGTTTCCAGTAGCCTATTCTGTATTTGCAGTCATCTTAATCTGGAAAATGTTTCTTTGCTCTGTACCAGGATTCCTATGGTAGGGAGGATCTGCCAAATGCCTCCCTGCTCACAGGGGGTACTGCTGGACGGTTTATAAGCTCTTTCTGAGTAGATGAACTGGTCTATTTGTACTTTTCTCCTCCTTTTTCCTTTTTTTTTCTCCCTTTTCCTTTTTTTTCCCCCTTTTCCTTTTTTTTCTCCTTTTTTTTCTCCTTTTCCCTGTTGTTTTCTCCTCCTTTTCACTGTTGTTTTCTCCTCCTTTTCCCTGTTGTTTTCTCCTCCTTTTCCCTGTTGTTTTCTCCTTCTTTTCCCTGTTGTTTTCTCCTCCTTTTCCCTGTTGTTTTTCCCCTCCTTTTTCCATCAAGCCTTGCTTGCGCTAGCTAGCTATCCTTATTAGTAGCTTGCAACCTGTGTGGCACAAGCTGCCACTTTGTCCAGAGCCCTACCTCATGTCGTAATAGGGAAAGGCAAGGAGCACAACGTGGTCATAGTGCACAAGAGAATGAGAAATAAAGGGAAGGTGCCAAGCTCTAGATGATGTTTGCTTATAGCTTATGAACGAAAGTGTGCTCACGTAAGTATACTAAACAGCATGCTGAGTATTTGTTGGGGGAACAGAAAGTTACTGAAGTAGTAGGTCAAAGTTCTGCAGCTGGCTTCAGGTGCGGCAGGGTTTTAGCACTGATTTGAGGTGTGTGCTGTTTTCAGATGGTGTAAACCTTCAAAAGATTAGAAGGGAGGTGAAATCCATGTCTTAATTTTAGCTCTCAGGCTTTCTCATGACTAAACGCTTATGTCAAGGATAGATAGGTTTTGCAAACATCTGCTTTGGAATATCTCTTCTGAATTACTCGAAAAGCCCTTTGTGCTTTGTCAGTTCTGCCTGTCTTCTGCGAAGTTGCAGCCTTTTTGGAGCTTGTAAACTAGCTGTGAAGAGGTAGCCGCATAGCAGCGTGCATGTGGTATGTGTATATATGCTGGATTTTCTTTTCACTTCAGAACTGAACAAGTATCTGAAAGAGTGAGCTATCATTAGCCAAGTAGGATAAAAGGAGAATTTAGGGAAAATTTGTTTAATGCATGGCAAAGAACATAATTGAGAAGGCTTCAGTAGCCAAGTAGGATAAAAGGAGAATTTAGGGAAAATTTGTTTAATGCATGGCAAAGAACATAATTGAGAAGGCTTCAGGCAAGGTAGTGGAGAACAAGATGTACATGGGAGAAAGGTGGGGGAACTAGCTGGGGGAATGTCAGACTTCTGATGCTTGGTTCCAGTCAGAAATACCTGTCGCTGTGGAGCTGATCACTGAAAAACTGGGGGGGGGGACTGGGATCAGAGGCATGCTTTGGCTCACATGCCTCTCCTCAGTAAATTAGCTTTGCATTCCTATTCCCAATCATTGCTAAAATAAGTTATGCGTAAGGTGAACTGGTTTTGAACTTACGGGGTTATGAAACCTGAAGCAGCTTTGTCCCTCATTCCTTTCCATTGGCTCTAGAGAAAAATTTGTACAGTATTGGAGGTACGGGTTATTTTGCCTTCTCGATTGCAAAAACACGATGTGCATTCTGGACACAAACTTCAGGTTGGAAAATGAATTTGGGGCTGTCACAACGGCCCTCAGTGGAAAGGCAAAGAAGCTATTAATGGTACACGAATTAACTGTCAGCAAATAAAGAACTGAATACGTAGGAAGGAAAACTGAATGCTTGTCAAAAGGTTTTGTAGAGTTATATTTGGGAAGCAGAGATAGGTATATGGCCAAAAGGTTTTCTCTTTTTTCAGACCTCACTGTAAGCTTCTGCTGCACAATCCTAGAAACCAAACCAATCCTAGATCTTTTTTTTTTTTACTTATCACGGGTTAGCTTTGCTTAGAAACTAGAATGAGACACAGTGATTTCAGCACACAGGTCTTACATTTCTGATATCTGTGTGTGTTCTGTGTTTTAGTGACAGGTCTGTGAAAGAATCCCATGAGCGTTGCGGGGCACGCAGTCCTTCAATTCAGCCCTGCATACGGGTCCAGCGGAAGCACATACCGCAGGCCACGCTTATTGTTTTGCTGTCGCTATTTAATCTATTAAAACTATTTGCCCCATAAGAAAATGAATGGGAATATTTTCCCTGAGCTCAAACTGTTTCAGAGACACTTTGTTCAGATCATTTGCCACATTGGTATTGTTGTTTTCAAAATTGGAAGTGTCAGCAAATATTTCATTATTAAATGATGCCTCTCTTTAGTCCTTTTTTTTTAAAAAAGATGGACAGTAGGAAAACAGATGACTGAAAGTGATCTGCACTGAATGCAGGACTGTGCATTGCGTGCTCACTGGGGGGAAGAATGCGCTTGCTGGCTTGCTAAATTGAGATAATGCTTTGAATGTTGACAGACAGAAAAACGATCAGAGCTGTAGGCTGCTTTGCTGATGTGTGCACTGTCACGGGGAGAGATGGCTTGTCTTGTGCCAGTGAATCTGAACTGTTCAACTCTCTGCAAGATATTAATTAATTAAAGTTCCTTACAGCTGGGCTTGGAATGCAAGGTCTGTTTATTTGTGAAGGCAACTGGGCCAGGAACAAACAGCGGAGGTCACTGGTGGGGGCCTGTTGGGTGTTTTCGCATTGGCTGTTACATTACAGGCTGGTAAAAGACACTTTTCTGCTTAATTTATTGGTACATTGAAACAGTGTTACCAGACTCTGAAGTGTTTGTGTGTTTGTGTACTGTTAATACTTGTGTCCAGGATAGTGTTCTTTGAAGTGTGTCACTTTATGTGGGGAAATGTTTATTTAAACTCTGACCACTCTGGGTTTGCGGGCGCGTACTAATCTCTCCAAAGACTCCACTTCTGTAAACACTAGTATTCTTAAAAGCTACCCCTCTTTTGTCGATTAATTATACAACCATATTTGAAACCTGGCTTTACTTATCCGCGTGGACTTTGGAAAACAAACCAAACATGCCCAACGGCTGCATCTCTCGTCCGGTCGATGTGCTGTGACCCCCCGGCTCTGCTGGGCTTGGAGGTGGGCTGCTGCCTGCTGCCGCAGCCTGTCCGGGGGAGATCAGGGTGTCTCCTGGATCGCGTGTCCACACGTGTCAGCTGCGGAATGACCTGTTTGGTTGTAGAAGGGAAATTGTCTTTCCACTGCAGCTCGAGGGCTGCGCCAGCGCATCTTTTTGATGCAGAAAGAGACGTGCACTTGTGCAGAGAAAGCATCTCTCGTTAGGCTGTAAGCATGAACTCTACTATTTGCTTAGTCTTTCCTGCACCATTTCTGCCTCTTCGTGCAGTTCTGTTAAATCCATCAGCATCATCAGATTCCATGTTTCTTGCGTAACCCTACCCTGCTCATCTTTATTAATCTCCTCTAAATAACTTTCAGATTTCTTTTACTCTGTTGCTGTGTTATTCATTTTCCTGATACTTAGTTCTTCAAAAATATTGTCTTGAGTTTTACCCCTTTATCCATACTGGATTACCAGAATGCATGAGCTTCCTGTATTGTGTTCTTATGGCTTATTTTTCCTCTGTCTGCTTAAAAAACCCAGCACTCTCATTAGTTTGTTTTTTTTAAAGAGTAATCATCATTATTGTTTGTTTGTTTTTTGTTTTGGTATGGGGGAGGAGGTTTTGTATTTTTAAGAGGACAATTCTTTGTGGAGTTTTTATGCTGAAATTTTTTAAATTGAGCATCGTAGCAGTTCCAGGTAGAAATGAACTTTTGTGAGCCATGATGCCAGTGGATCTGTTGATGCAGAAGAAAAGCAGCTCCTGGAAAAGCTGAGCCCATACCAAAACCACTAAAGTTCAGATCAGTAATTAATCTAGAAGTTAGCACGAGATAAACCTTGAGCAGTTTGGCTGTTGGTAGCAAGACAGCAGAGGGCAAATGGCTGACTGCTAAATCCTAACTTAGCTTTGAAGTTTTTCTGGCATCCCCCCCGGAATTTTTGTTCCTCCATTTATAAAATTTGGGAATTTTCTCTTTTAAAAATAAATGGGGACCTAGTACACCGTATTAGCTGGTGTGACACTGGCATTATTTCAGCGAAGGCAGGAGAACCGTGCTGAAAACCAAGAACTGGCTGGACTAGTTGGCTGGATATGGCTTGCTTTTTGGGTTACTGTCATCGCAGTGCCTGTGGAAAAACCTAGGACTGCGCTTTAGCCCAGGTCCATTTCCTCACAGAACCAGCGCGGTGTTGGCAGGGGTTCAGCTACCTCTACAACGCTTTCCCTGATGCGTCTCCTGGTTTTAAAGAAAGAAAGGAGCAATCTGTCAGCTTGCTTTCCTTGCTGGGTTTTCCAGCGTTGGTACTAAGTGCACGGGTTTGGTGGGACTGGGAACCTTCAGCTGCTTCTGTCTGGAGAGCAAGGCTGGACTCTCACAAGTGGCTGAAAATAAAAGTGTTTCCACCTTGTTTTGCTGCACCAGCACCTGCTGAGAAGCATTGAACAAATACTGAAAGCATCTATAACCAGTCCCTGGAGACATCCAGGCAGCAGATAAAAGAAGAGGGGCACCTGCTATTTGAAACTGTTAGGAGTTTACTCCAGAGTTGTTTATTTAATTCTCTTGGTGCTCTGCTTGTAATAACTTTTAATATTTTAGGAAATAAACTGTAATGAAACTTCTGGTATGTTTACAGAACGGACGGACACTGCTAAAGCATGGGATGTTGGATTCCTGCTACCATTTTCAAAGAAAGGAGGCTGCGTTGCCCCTTCTGCCCAGCAGACGTTAAGGTGACCTTGTTAACTGTTCTAGTTGGTGATGCCTCGCTGTAAACACCAGTATTTCTCTCTCTTGTAGCTGCTGAGAAGTCTGCTGTGTTGGCCCTGGTGTAGCTGCAAGTATGACTTGACCGATTCGCATTCATGGCTTTTGGATGATCGGGTGAACCATGGAGCTCAAAGTATGGGTGGATGGAGTCCAGAGGATTGTGTGCGGGGTCACCGAAGTCACAACTTGCCAGGAAGTTGTCATAGCCCTTGCTCAGGCTATTGGTAAGTCGCGCTGTCAGCTGGGTGTCTGGGAGTGGGGGGAAGCTGCTTTTGTGAAGCTAAACCAAGGGGAGGTGGGGTTGCACTGAGTGTCAGTAGGCATGAACATACAACGCGCGGTGGGATAACCTTGCAGTGTAAACTTGCAGCCGTTGGTTTTTAACCTGCGAGAGAGAGATAAAGAAGGAAGAAGGAAAAGAAGCACTTTGAAATCTATAAACTTGCGTTTAGTACAAATTTATTCTTTGAATAATAATGTGCTGCTGTTTGTCATTGTAAATACAACCTGGACTAAAGAAGGTGCTAAACTGTCAATGTTTGGAGTACAAAAGAAATATAAAAGCAGTGCAAGATAATTGTTTGGCTTTCACAAGCTAATAATGTGTATTGGAATTATACTCATTGTAAGTATCCGTAGCTATACTGGGGGTAGTATAGATCAATGAAATGGATCCTTCAGGTTGTCCTCTTACTCCTGCACTCCACATAACTCGGTACTAATGAAAGGGTAACTTGAAGTCTGTTCAGTGTCAGCTATTTGCTGAAGAGGTTGGGGAGGGGAGGGGAATTATTCGCAAGAAAGAGCATTCCTTCAGCCTTGTCAGATCTTTCTCAGCGATTGAGAGAATCCTGAATAAGCCTCAGCTTCATGCCTTCAGTGCTTCCTGGGCTGAATCTTATTCTTTGCTCAAATTTTGTAATTGGCTTCATATACTGTTTAAATTTAGGCATTAAAACTTACGTCTTTACCTAAAATGAAATTCAAAATTGAAGGGCTAGCTTTTGGATTTGTCAGTATTCCAGCAATTTTGCAAGATTGTATTAGCAGTCTGACTCAATTGCAAAATAACAATTTTCTAATAAAAAACAATTTAGGGCCATGAACACCAACTAGATTGACTTCATGCTTACATATAGACTATTTCTCTGAATCTGTGATGTTTGTTTATATAAATGTATACCTCTGAAAATTGTTTCCATGCACTTTCATCTGATGGAGTTGAAGACAGGCACTTTTTTATTTTTATATTGAGATTGAACACAGTGCTAGCATGTATATGCTGTGTCTATACACATCAAACACCTTTTAAAGTTTCATTTTAAAAGTGTAAAAAGTCAGTATGTCTCTAAAATCTTGTATTTGATGGTTAACTGTGAAGTATGCTTTTACTGTTTGTTAGTTGCAGCTTTTCATTTAATGCTAATTGGTTTATTAATTGCTTGCTTCCAGATCTCATTTTCTGCCTGTAGGTTTTTTAAGACAATTACGCTAGCATGATTATTTCCTAGTAATGATTAAGTGTTACATAGTTAGAAAAATAAACTGGTTGTGATAGACTTCTGTTCTTGACTGTGCTTTCAATATCTCTTTCATCCCATTTCCTTTGCCTCCTCCCACAAAACAAAAAATGTTTGACTCCCAGTTCTAGACAATAATTTGATGTTCTCCTGTGTAATTTCTCTTTGTTTTTTTCTGGTTTTTTGCTGTATCCTCATTTATTAGCCTGAACTCTGAAAAGACTCCATCAGCCCTGGAAACGCACACAGTTTTTGTCAGCTCGGCAGCCTTCCTTTTCTGTAACACGTCACCAGTTCATCTGGGGCATCCGACTCTGCTTCTATGCGGAGACAAATTTCAGTTGCAGCCAGAGCCAAATTAAGATAATCCTTTGGAAACTCCTCCTTGAGGCAAATACCCTTTCTGGAAAACACCTAGATAATTGCACTCCAGTTTCACACTGGGACTAGTAGGATGATATTAAACACCATGTAAATTCCGGTTGTGTGTCTTTGGCAGATAGATAAGCTTTCCCAATCTCCTGTCAGGCCTTTCATCAGAAAAGCAACCATATGTCTGCTCCTTTGATTTGGCTGTAGGTGCCAGCTTACCAGGAATAATTGCCACGGAAATTTGAATGGGAATCTGTTCAGATGTATTCCTCTAGCTCTCACCTGACATTTGGTGGTAGAAATAGCCAGTCTTTGTTGGCTTCCTCCTTGGTTGGCTCTGATCTTATTTTCCATTTTGCAGTCTGGCTCCCTCGGCAGCCGCATAGCTTAGCAGGACTTAGTATTATTTTGTCTGTCTGTTGGTCTGTCTGCAAAGTTTTTGAGATGCTCCTTTTGGTTTATTGTGTCTTACAGTTTATTGGGAGGTCCTTGACTTAAATACAATGCAGTCGTCTTCACTGTGCCTGAAATGTGAACTGCAATAGATGTATTATTTGTGTTGAAGTGCAGTGTCTGGAGTATCTGCAAATTAACTTATTTTACAGCCACATCCACTGAAGAAGGCACAAGCCAAAGATACTTGGATTAAGACATCCGTAGTTCAAGAAGCTTCTCATGGACAAACTGAAGCTGCCTCTATTCTAGAGATATGAAAAGTAAAGCTTTACAATGTGTTTCAGAAACAGGAAAATCAAAATTATTATAGAATGGGCTGTGGTTGGAAGGCACTTCTGAATTTCACCTAGTCCAACTCTGGTGCTCAAAGCAAGGGCAGGTAGAGCAGGTTGCTCAGGACCGTGTGCAGCTGGGCTTTGAATATGGCAAGTATGGAAACCCCCTCACCTGTTCTAGTGTTCAGCCATCCTCGCAGTAAGAGCATTTTTTCCCTATGTCTAAATGGAATTTCTTGTGTTTCAAGACATTTCTTTTGCTGTCACTTGATGAAATGCAGGGCTGTGTCTCCTGATCTCCTGCTGTGATGACAACAACATAAAGGTTTCCGTCTATTTACTTTCCAGCTCTCCCCTTGTGTCATGGAAATTCAGTAATAACTTTCTTCAGGATACAAAAGTATTTATTTTTCTTTTCTTTTTAAATGCAAAGGTAGGAACTTGTGTTTTAGGACTGTTGTAGCCAGACAAAAACAGCAGGGCGTGCTGGGCTGTGCCCCTTTGTTAGGAAGTTCTGTCCCGTAGCCAAAGTGTAGTCTAATCCTTTGGCAGTGGAGTTCTGTTGCTTAACTGGCCTGGTTCATGCTCCTTGCCCTGTTCCTTACGAGCTGGTATCTGCCACTGTACACACTTTCAGTGGAAAGGCTTGTTTGTGTCTCTTCCTTTGGGGCAGGACTCCTGGCAGGTAACGTTTGTGTGAGCTGGTCTTGTGCTAGAATCTCCTTCCTCTGGCGTCCCTCTCTCAATCACTGAGGAATAGGAGCTGATTCTACTCCAAGTTTCTGTACAAATTAGGTTTTTTTTACTTTCCATTTGGCTTGGAGTTAAAGGGTTTGAATTAAATCTCATTATTTAAAATGACAAGAAGAGAAAGTTGTCTCTCTTGGTGATCCCAGCAAAGCTTATATTAAAAATATATGTATATATTTTAATGAATGTGAGAGAGAATAGTATCAGTTGGATAGGATTTTGGATAGTGCAATTGGTTGTGTCTCTAACTTAAGAGTTAGAAATGCTTTTAGCTGGAGGGAGGGTCACTGGAAATCTGTTTGAGACACACACAAAGCTATCCAGTTACAAGTTTCCAGAGAGTGAAATCACCTCCCAGTGGGATCTTGAAGAACACATGGTGTTACCTTTTACAAGTTTTATCCAGGACTGCTTTTTTGTTTTTTATTTTAAACTCGAGCTGCTTGCAGATGATGAAGAGGAAGATTTGGCCTTACAATACAGATTAAGAGAAGTGATCGTTTCATCAGGAGAAACTTAAGCCCTTACCAAAACATAAAAATATGCCACAGCACATAGTTTAAATGGAGAACATGAGTCTTGTTTTAAAAAATACTTTTGCCAGGAGAGATGAGCTGGATTTTATCACATCCATCATTGTCTATTTTGAAAATACACATTTGACAGTAAATTCTGCCGGTTTTTCTGCTTCCACTAGCTTTTCTGTGCATTCCGTGAAAATCATGCCAGAGTGGCTTCATATAAATGTTGGCTTGCTCATTTTGATTACTCTTCTAAACTTGGACAACTGAAAAACAAGTTAAAAAAAAATTTATTGATACTTTTCAACTGTGTGTCTGATGAGCTGGCTGGTGAATCTGGTCAGGGCTCTGTTTTGCAAGGTCGCGTATGGACTTGTAGTCGAGTGTGTGAGCGTAGTGGCTCCTCTCAGAAAAATCTGAGGGGAAAAACAGATGGTATCCTAAAAGAAAGTGAGCTAATTATGTTAGCTGATAGTTTAGGCAAATGTAGTTTAACTACAGATTTTTTCTTAAATTGGCGTTTACTAGTTGTTTTCCATTCAAATCTAAAAAATCTTCCAAAGGAGGAATATGATGATGAATAGTGCAGCCACAAATACACTTGCTCTGTTTCTTCAGAAGTGTTCTTCTCCCAGTTCCAGCCCCTGTGAGGATTTTTACTGTGTTTGTTGGGATTTCTTTTGTCTCTGGAGACTAGAGTGTGTCTTCTGTACCCAGAGTGACATGTTTGTTTCCTCCAAGGAGAGTATTTCACCCTAGAGAAGTAAAGCTTGAATTTCTTACCAAAGTGCACTTCTGTTTTCTGGCCTCCCGTAGTTTTTCTGTGGCAAATAATCAGAATGCCAGACTTGCTTTAAATAGTGCTGTGGATTTGGGTTTTCTGGCTGTAGCACAGGATCGGGAGAAGATGGGCAACATTTCACTGAACAAATAGTACAGCTGTCTCTTTAAAATTAAACAAATACAGCTGTCAATTTTTTTATTGCAGTGGAGTATTTTTCCTCAAAGATAGATGGGATGTATTTATGAAAATAAAGCACGGATTTGTCCATGCTGTTTCAAACGTGTTAGTGTTGTAAGGCTCAGGAGTTGTGTCTGGAAAAATCACACCACTTTGTTGTCTCTTCTTATGTTCATCCCTTCCTCCAAATAGTTTCTGCTAAAGCAAGCACCAGAGCTGGCTGTCAGGCACTTTGAGAGAGAGAAGAGCGTTTCGGGTTGAATTGAATCAGAGCTGAGTCTGAAGAGGATTAGAAAAAGGGAACAGTATTTGTGCTGTACAAACTGGAGTTTTTAAACATTGACTTAATCATGTAGTTTACTGCTAAGAATCACTTAACTTGGGTTATTTTTGACCCCCAAATTTATTTCTTCAAATCT